TACAATCACACTTCAATGTGCAGCGGTTAGGTATCGCCGCCGGAAACGGATCTCGGAAGCAACTCGTCGCAGACCAATCTAGGCAGGAGACCTGCGCTTCGGTGAGGATTTCCGCCGGGGTCAAACCCTCGCGAGGACGGCGTCACTTCTTGCACGTTTTCGATTCTGGCTGGATCAGTCAGCCCGCTCGAGATCATTACCTTATGCATGCTTATGTGTCCTTGAGAAACTACGCCGATTTCTGCTTCAGAGATTGTTCTATCAGACAGACATAAATATTTGTGCGTTTAGGGAGATGAGACTCCTTCCGGCATACTCACTCTGTATGAGCTCTTCGGGCATTCCTAGGAGCTGCCCAAAGTGATGTAAATTTCCGTGGATCGTCTGTTCACGGTATAGAGCAGACTCCTGTGGCATATAGCCAACTCCTGGACCCGGGATCAATGCTCCTGGTGTCGCGGGTACCTGATCGAATACCCGAACCATGCCTGCATGGGGTGTCTTCCGGCCAACGATACACTTCAGCAGGGCGTTTTTCCCACAGCCGCTTGGTCCGAGAAGCCCGTAGCTATAATGAGGAAGATACTTTTGTGTACTTCCTCCGGCTCTACAAGACGTCAGATCGCTTCTGGGCAGGCACATGATCCGAAGAGGATGATGGCGTCGATATCGATGTGGAGCGACCGTCTCTTCTCACTGTCCCGCTTGAATCGCCAACATGACTGGCCTCCTCCCGAGGCAGATGAGACATGATGATTCCGAAGGAATATTTCGCAGGAAGTATCCAATGGAATCAGAGTATGATAAAGTGGTGAATAATTACATTTTTCCTACGGGCACTGAGAGATCGATTCCTTTCAGAACTCCCATCTCCTGATTGCCGTACTCGTAAGTGAATCGGACACGATTTACTTCCACAGCCAGCTTCTGTGCGGGGTCGATGGGGTCAGGATCTGGGCTGAGCTTGACCGGGTAGGATGTGCCGCCTTCCTGACTGGAGGCATTGCTCGGCTCGTCAAATGCCACATTTACGTGACCCACACGAGCTTCACAGCTCCCATGGCTGATGCTGAATGGCGGAGCCTCCGGAGCGAGAATGGCACCGCTTATCCCGTGGCAACTGAGAAACTGTAAGAAAAAGACAAGGTCCTCAATACAAGGGTCCGAATCCGCATGCATCTCTAGGGCACGGAGGAAGCGGAGGAGTAGACCGAGACCCCTCGGAGGCCTCGGCTCAGATTCCCTAGATGGAGAACGATCGAATGCTTATTCTGAAGGCTGCTCCTCGCCATCTTTTCGGTTGCCGTCAAGTCTGGAGGCAGAAAAGAGTCCCTTTCAGTCCGGCCGATCTGATTCCAAACCCCCCTTAGACATTCACTCCTCTGTAGCGTGTTCTTCGAGCTCAACCAGATTCGGGATTCATTCGGCGAAACGCGGAAGGAAGAGCGCGCGAGGCCGCACAAACCCTGCTCAAGCACGTTGAGGGAGCTATTTAACCCAGTTCTCGCACAGTCCCGTATGAATCCGACCCTTTATAGAGCTGCTTAAAACGCGTCCGCTATCCTGTAGCGAATCGCAAATATTCTCTCTATTTTCTCAACACTAAGATACCGTTTGCACATCCGTAAAAATACGGAAAGTCTTCCCAACACCTCCGTCATGGTGAACGCGTGGCCCGCTTAAACCCCTCCCCACTGAGCACCTCGTTTGCGCGTCGACGAAAAGGAATAGAGACAATGCTAGGCTTAGGGAATCGTGCATGAGAGTAGGGCCCCGGGCCGGCTTGACACGCGCAGAAGCCACCCAAGGACTCATCGCTCGCGAATTTCCGGGTGGCGATGAAGTCCTTCTCGGAACTGCGCTCGTTAGCGGAGCAATTTCCTTCAGCATCAGCGTCGAGATCGAGGAGCCGCATGTAGACTTTTCAGCGTTGGAGCTTGATTGATCACTCTGCCAGATGGGCTGCGCGTTGCGGTGCGCTCAAAAAGCCCGGACCCTCCAAGAATATGAACGGGCAAGTCCAAACACTGGAATCGAACTCGATGATCGAACGGGTCCATTTGGATCCTAAATCAAACCCCGCTTAGCGCACTCTGAGAACAATCGACAGACGGTCTATCACAATATTTTAGCTCCGCTGCTGATATCATGAATAATCGAGTTCGCGTACTCCACAGTTTTTGCATGATGGGCGTAGGCTGCATAACTGCTCTTATTCGGGACCACTACACACGAGGGACGTGACAATTAAATCTCACTGGCCTTGGAAATGCGGCGTCTCCGGGAGTCTCCTCCTTCCGCGGAGGGTGCTCGGGCTGCTACCGCTTTCCCTCTCGGGATCTACTCATGAGCCCGCCGCGTGATTTCGTCGCAAAGCCTGCGAGTTTCGTTCCCAGTCCGTTCGAGCTGGCCTTCTTTGGTCCAAGATTCAGAATGAGTTTGTAGCACATTGATGCTTGCGCCAAGCGGAAACTCGCCCGGGGGAAGTCGGAACGACTATCCTCTCAGTCTCTGACCGCTCTCTGGAAGAGCTCGTTTTGCGGGGACAGGAGGACCAGTGAGATCCGTGGGTGGGGACTCGCTCTTTGTGGACGAGAGATCGCAGTGAATTCCTAATCAAACTGCGAGACTGAATCCTCCGAAGCTCTATCGAAAGAACTTGCACCATTGATAATTGTGTATTTACCTGCGGTTTCGAGTCACTTTTGACTCCGGCCTCGAGATCTGCGCTCCCGCGGAGAACACTTGTACCGTTGAGTATATCGAACGTCGTCGACATTCTTAGGCAGAGAACACGACTGACGATCGCGACTTTTCAGCACAGGGGATCCTCTTGATTAGGACCCGGTTCGCTCAAACAGACCGCGGTTTTTCTCTGCCTCTCTCCCCCGGTCGAGAGAGGGTGAGCGTCGTTGTGGATGTCTCGAGAGTCGGGACTCTGGCTAACGTTTCCGTGAATCCCGTCCATTAAACTCTAGGAGTACAGCGGTTTCTTCTCAAAGGGAATCGCAAGGACCTTCCCCAAGTCTAAGCTCCAATTTCCCGATGGTGCGAGGAGAACTGTCGAAAGACAGAGACTCAGATGCTCTTCAGCAGTTTCAATGACGGGAACATGCTCCTCTATTTAACAGTCCCTTCAGCATTATGATCATTGATTACGAGCCGCCTCCTACAGAACCGTTCTTCCAAGTCAAGATTCTCTCTCTACTTGAGCAATCATTTCAAAGCCTACCCCACTCCCGATCGATACTCCGTTTTTTCCCTGCAGTTTCGTGCCGAACTTTCTCCGTCGACGGCGATCACGACAATCTTGCCACCTCCTTTTTTTGCCTCCGAAATAGCGCCCGGTCTAATAGAACTCAGCATGCCAGTGAGAAGCCAAACTCCGGGACGAAGGGTCTCCAGATGTTTCATGGATTGTCCTTGCTGGCTCAGCGCTCTCTCATCGAGGAATCGTTCGCATCGCGATATTGGGGATCCTGTTCTTGAATTCCCTGAACGCAGCAGCGGTGCCGGGCTCCCCGAGACTCGCCATCGGATGATGGCCGGCGGAAACATCTCTGAAGGCACGATCGGATCGCCATACTCCCGACTCTAGCGGGCTGACAAGTAAACATGCCCTTTCTCCAATCCGGGTTCACGAGAATGGGTATGTTTTTCGAAAGTCGCAAGCCTAACTAAGAATGGTATGGAAGATCAGCGTCAGTCAGCTTACGGTTCGCGAAAAATCGAATTTGGAATTTTTCCATGGGTAGGAGTCGTCGAAGTTGGGAATGTTGTGAGTCCAATCATTCTTACTGAGTTATAACGGGCAGAAACGTCTTCAAAAATCAGAAGACAAGAGAAGATTAGCTTTCTCATGGTCCGAATCCTGACCCGATGCACTGTTTATCAGCAGTGCCCAGAGAGGCGGGCTCTCTTATCATACCGTTCCGGACTCGAGGCCGAAATACGGGAAGCTTTGAAAATTCCCAACTTCGACTACTCCTCCCCATGGAAAAGTTCAAAATTCGATTTTTCGCGAACAATAAGCTGACTGACGCTAATCTTTCAAACTATTCTTAGTTAGGCTTGGGACTTTCGAAGAACATACCCATCTTCGTACACCCGGATTGTTAGACAGAGAATGTTTACTTGTGAGCGCAATGCTGGAAAATTATCACCGACCCAAGTCTCACCACGCGCTCGATCGGTGAGACGGATTTCGCAAGTCAGGGACAACGGCCGATCTGTTCATTGCTTCATGACTCGAAATCTGGGATGGCATCGGCGATCTCTGGCTGATTGGCGGGGTCTGGGACGTGGCAGATCGGGGCTCGCTGGAGCATGACTCGTGTTCAAACATGGACCGAGAGCTCTTCGCATCTGTCTGGCTTCATATGATATCAGCGGCATCGCAAGAAGAGGCAGAGAGGCACTTCCGCTGTCGATTTTAGGGCGGCAGTTTTCGACTCTTGCGTTCGAGAAAACAGAGTAATCTCCGCCGAGCTTGTGCCTTTTCGTGAGTTAGGGGCGCCATTCCTGGCGATGAAGTCTGAAAAAAAATGAGGTCTCCGGGGGGAAGGCAAGGGAAGAACTCGATCAGAGGCGGCACTCCCGGCATCCGCATCGGATGCCGTTCCGCCTCGTTATGCCGCACCGCCGATCAGCGAAGACTCCGACTCTTCCCACACGAGGCTCGCGTTCTCGACGCTCCCGGAGGATGAAGAGCTCACCGATTCAGCTTGCATTCACGAGTTTCCTCTTCTAATGGATCGGGCTTCTGCAGATCGCGAAATACCCTGCGAAATACTATATGGTCACTTAATTCAGAATCACACGAATATTCCGACTAGTTTGGAAAGAAGGGTGAGCTCCATGATGAACTCCAATCGTCACAGCTGTCTGCCGCTGCATTTGCCGTGTGAGAGCGGGGCGTCGCTTTCATCCTGAGGTTGTTGGCGATTCCTCGCAGATGGTCGATCGTCGTGCTCGAGTGGAACTGCCGGACCATCGAGAGGAGGCGATTATCATCGAACATCATCGATGTTTCTCTCCTGTCTCTACGGCTTCCCTGGCTTATTCGGGAATTTCTATGCTCCCACGACCAGTAGGTACTCAGACCAATGAGCCGAGAACCAGGCGCTCTATGATGGTCGCCCCCGACGGCGAGTTGGACCCGGTGGCGATTCGGGTCGCGGCGAGTTTGGGCGTTCCGCTCTGCCTCTTCCCCAGACACATTGCTCCCCTTTCCCCTTACCCCCGAAAGAAACGAATCCTATGGACGCTCCGGGATATGGGCAATGAAGTTCAGGAAACTATTTTCCTCCCAGTTGAGTCCTCGAGGGTTCTCAATCGGCGTAATCATCTCGTAATTCTCCGTCTGAAATTCGCGACACGCTCGAAGCGGAGGAACACGTCCAGAATTCCGGTGCCCAAGGAATTTCAGCATCGGACTCCTCCCGAATTGAGGAGAAGCTGAAGGAGCACAATGTTGAAATGCATTCCATCCAGCCACCATCTCGGTGTGTTTTCATCTCTCTCTCTTGGGAGTGACCACCGTGAGTACAGCCAGAACAAAGAGGGGATTAAAAGCTCGACCGAGCCTCCACGATTCAGTGGATGGCGGATGCTGCTCTCTCGACAAGGAGCACATTGCAGGGAGTTCCCACGAATGACCTCTCATAGTGTCATCGAAAGGACATCCTGGGTGAGACTGATGAGCGCGGCTGTGGGTCATGTCTATCCCGGAAAGAATCGATGAGACTGCCGTCGTCTGTGTCCGATCGAACTGTTTATCTGATCTCCGACCTCCCCCCGCCATGCTTGCCCTGAAATGGATACATTGCTCCCAATCCTTCACTGTCTTATCCGCTCTCTCAATGACTCACGGTACGGGTTGAGACTCGATGCAACCCCGACCTCAGCCGTCAAGGGTTAGGCTTAGTCTTCGGAGCGTCCTCCGACGCGGGAGTAAATCAGATCGACTTCCCCACGGAGTCCGACTGCTAGAATCATCCTTCGTCCAGGAGCTCCGCCGCTCGCGAGTTGAAGTTCCCTGCTCGATCCAGCGGTGTGATTCCGCTGCTTAAATCCCTCTGATCGAGAGGGACCCTGGATCTCGGCCGTGGAAGAAAGGCTGCACGAAAAGGTCGCTCCGGAGTTGACACGGGGCTGGGGTTCGATGCGCCGTTCGTATGAGTCAGTGTGCCGGAAACGCTGCCTGAGCCGGCTGATCCCAGAAGCTTGACTAGGAAAGGCCCCGGGAGGGCATCATCGACAGAGTCATGTGGTATGTCGATGAAATTCGTAATGAGCCGATTGCGTCGTTTCGATCTTGGAAAGCTCCAAGCTTAAAGGGTAGACTAACATAACCTTGCGACGAGGACAGCGAATTCCAAATACGACCGAGGATTGACTCTGGAAGCGCGGAGCTCTCCCTGCCTTCCCGACGTGAGATCGCGAGGCGCCAACATCTGAGTTGCTCGAAATTGTGGCAGACACCCGTTGCACGGACTGATGGATGACCCGAGCGGATCGCACCGCGTGGGTGAATCGATCGAACTTCAAATCAGACCTGTGACTCAAGACAAAACAGATGATCTCCAATCAGGCGAAGAGATATCATGCGATATCAGGAAGGTGAGTCTCCATAGCTGTTTTCGCCTTCCCGGCTGTCACCCCGAATCGAGGGTAGGAGATGAGGGGCTCCCCTACGAACTAGCCCTCCGAAACTTACGAAGAGCCGCGATCTCACCTCTATCGCGATTCACTGTCTCCATTTTCCGGAGATCAGTCGAGGCTCGCTGGTTGATCCGCGATCAGGCAGACACCATAGCTAGAGACGCGATATGACCGGACGTGTCCTTGTCCGGCCGGTATGTCCGGTTTCCGCGAAATCGGTGATCTTGTCCGGTTTTTTCAGTGTATGTTCTTATGTGCCAATTATATTGAAACGACGCATGTCGAGAGCATTTTTTTTCTCCCTCCCTTCCATCGTCCCAGTTGAGTCTCGTTCGGTGAAAATGGGCCAGCAGATTCCAGTCCTCGACTCGCTCAGACAGAGCGCAGGTGGCGACTTCTCGAGAGGAGGTACTTTTCGAAGAATCGAGGGAGTGTTCGGCAGTGGCCAAGATTTCCCGCGTATGAGAAACTGCGTCATCAGCGACTCAGAGATCTTCGGAGGAGCTTTTTTTTTCGTAATGTTCAAATCTGGAGATCCTCCTCTCTTCCAAAAAAACATAGCGACAGATCGCCATACAAATCTTTCACAACATGATACAGCTCGATGCCTGTCGATGCGGTTCGAGACGCATTTTTTGCTCGATCGAGACTAGCTGACTCTCTGCGGGCGAGAATACCTGACACGATCGGCATGATTCGTACAATTTTCGTCTAAGCTCGGAATTTCGGAAGTAGAATGAATGTCCGGTTCCACAGTCCGGTTTTGTGTCCGGTTTCGGCGGGAAAAAAGTCCGGTCGAATCGCCTCTCTACCTTCAGAGGAGGCTCGGTCCCCCCTCATGTGCATGAGCGGAATTCGAAGGACGCAAGCCGTACAGACGGTCGGAGAAGCCGTCGGAAATCGAGTGGACGAATGATCTGACTTTCGTTTATTGCAGCAGGAGCCCGGAGCTTCGGAGGAAGAGCGAGCTCCCGGGGCAGGAGCACGCCTCGAAGAGTACAAATCCAAGCCGTTGTTCCGGACGTACTTCCTCGAATTCGTCATGGCTTTCTACACTCTCGGGATAGTGATCTACGGTATCCCGCTGAGTTCGCTGATGTTCGAAAAAAACTGCTTGTATGCGGCAGGATTGAACGCGAGTGTTTGTTCAGATCTAGAGGCTCAGGAAGGGCACATCAAGAACCCAATTCTAGGCCAAGCTAGCTTCTATAGCACTCTGCGAGATGTCGTGCAGAATGTGCCCGGTCAGTGAGGTTTTCTTCTCGATTACTCATCTCAGGAATTCACTGAAATGACGTAGACAAATTAATGTCCTATTCCGTATTCCGGACAAGGGTCAGAATCATGAACGTGATTTCCAGCTGCCCTGGCTGCTGTGATTATCGGGAATTATCTCACTCGCTACGGATTCCGAACGCCACTGTTGGTCACGCTGGTCGGTGGTTTTTTGACCAGTTTCTGCCACCTTCTCACAGCCTTCTACATGCCTGCACCCCTGATTTTCAACGCCCTGGCGGATCTTCCTGGATCATTTGCAGGTTTGGTCGCGGATGTTGCTCAAACGCGCATGCCGATCCTTAAGCCCCGAGGAGTCCGAAGTCCTTCTTGTTGTTCATTTGCCTTCGAGAGGATATTCAGATGAGAAAGATTCCTTGCAGGGGGCTCCATAGTGATATCAACCGCCGTCTACACGAACATTGCCTTACGGGTTCCTGAGTCCCTCCGACTTTTCCGTATGACCGCGATGAGTCTTTGCATGGGGATCCCGGCTTTCATCGCTGTTTCGAGTGGAGCGACCTTGTCCGCAATGTTCGGCATAAAGGTCCTCTTAAGTTTCTCTGCGATGATACTGACGATTCCTACAGTCTTGGTGATATTCTTTCTCGAAGACATCGGTGAGCTTTCGGAGCGCGCCGAGCGAACTACTAGGAAATTGGATTATACTCTCAGCGCATCAGGCGAGTTGGCGTCGAGATGAACCGTGTCATTCCAGATACTCCCAAGGAAAACAAAGACGACACCTGGCGCGAAGCAATCTGGCTGAGTTTGAAGAATGGTCTGAAAACGTCCATCAACGCGATTTCACTCGAAAGGCCAGATCGGAAACGAACACAGATAATCATCATGATGATTTGCATTGCGACCTCAAGCATCGGCATGCAGGCTAAGTGTGAGGGACTGCGGGATAAGATTTTGTGAATCTTCAATTTTCTAAAACCCGAATGATATGGACCCCTTCCTCGGCAGCTGGTTCCCTTGCGTACGCTCATCTGAAGAGCGTTTTGAAGTTTAAAGAATCCGATTACGCCAAGTACGCCACAATTGCGATGATACTCGGTATCGGCTGTCTCTTCCCACTGGTCGCGCTGTCGAAGAAGCTCAAGCTGAGCGCTCCACTGATGGTTTGCTTCGGGATGGCATGTACCGTGGCGAAATTCGTAATGTTGGCCCTCACCGAATTTTCAGAAAATCTCTTCTATATCCGTAAGTTATCTCCTATTGTGCATAATAATGATCGCTCTCTAGGAGCTTTGGGAAGCATAAGCGAGAGTCTCACTTCCCCCGTTCGTACCAGCGGAAATATCATGAGCACGAGTTCCCGCCTCTTGAGGGTGCCGGCTGAGCTTTTCTTCACGATAATCGGTGTTGTGGACGTCTGTCAGAGAGGGAGAAAATCCTCAGAGGAAACTTTCTGGGGAGCGATGAGGGAAAAGCTAATCACTGATTACGGAGTGTCTTCCAGAGATCTTCGTCAGTATTCCTTACTCTCTCTCGCCTCTCTCCGCACGCTCGCATCTAACTGGTCTCGTGGAGAAATCGGAAGTGTCCGTCGTCATGTCGTTGTCGGCCCTCATCGAGAAACTTGTTCCATTGTTGAGTGGTCCACTCTCGACTTATGTCTTCACCATGACGAGTTCTTATTTCCCGGGCTGCTACTACCTGATGATCGGCGGCGCGTACATCATCCCCCTGGGATTGTCCTTGTGAGTGTCCGCGAGCGTTGTGAAGGTCGATACGTCGAAGGTGCCTCCGCTCATTGACGCCACACGGGCCTGTACTGTGTTCATGGCAGATATCATGTGTCATATGGGATCTCTATTTCCAGATATTGCGCTTGGATAATCCGTGGTAACAGACGGAAAGAGGGAGCCTGTACACATTTGTGAATATATGATCTGCATACACAGAATTATTGACCTAGAGGATGAAAGTTGATGCGAAGGCTTTGAACTGGAGCATTCTCTATGGACCGTCGAAAAAGTGATTGCCGCTGTTTTGTTTTACGACGACATGGTTCCTTCGGAATACTATGAAGAAAAAACTACGGGACCCTTACTTTGGGGATTGACCAAAGAACAGAATACCCCTCTACCTAAGCGAGCTCGGCAACGCAGTTCTCCTGAGGCTCACGGAGGACAACTTCGCCACATCCGCTGAACACTTCCCCAGGATTGGTCTCGGCTCATGATCTCGACTTGGGTTCGGGGAATCGCGCGACTGTCATACAGTACTTCCGAAGAACTCCTCACCAAGGAATGAAGCATAGCTTGTCCTCTATTGGCGAAATAGGTAGGGAAAAATCAAAATAGCGCGGATCTCCAGTAGCCCTGAACAGCTTGGCAGCGATCGCAATATCCTGCCTCATCACGACCTTTGCATACTTTATCCTGGAGGACTTATTGAACGGGTTACTTCTCAACCAGTAGGAGATTATCGGCTCGGAAATGAGCCTCCACAAAACGAGAGAAAGCAGATGCTCAACTCGCGACAGCGAAGTGATCCGATCGGTCCAGTGAATATCAGTTTTTTAGGGACAGCTTTCTGGGAATGGATCCTATGCTGACCTATTGTCAAGTGACGGATGGCCAAGTCCTTTCGGATGACGATCGTCATCGGGAATCATAATTTTCGCAGCGGCATCCAGTCGCAGCGCTAGCGTCTTTTCACGTATGCTGCGACTGGAACACAAAGACGGGCTGGGATTGTCGTTTCCTTCGCTGCATTCGCTCTTTGATTCTGCGGGACGCGAGAAGAAGCTGTTGTGATGGAGGAAGCATCAGATGATGCGGTGATGATAGACTTACAAACTGATTGATTCATTAATGACGGAGAATCTCTGTATCTACGACTACTTTTAATGCACGACGCCGTTCAAGTGTTATCATCCAATCATAATCACAGTTTCGAAGGCCGATGCGGTATGGTTCACCGTGACTTCTCATGATAGGGCTCATCGGCTCGCGACCATCGATGTCGAATAAATCTCCATCTTGATAAAGTGAAATCTCGCTACGCAAGTCTCTTGTGGAACCGAAACTCCTACGTAAGGGAAGCTCTCTGGGACTGCCTGTAGGGCGACCCAGCCGAAGAGGCTACGGAAAAAATTCGTTATACAAAGTACTCGTTATACGTAATACTATTCGTTGTACACTTGTAGCTCTAACGCGATTCGTTGAAACGAGGTTTCACTGTGCGCTCCTACCGAGAATGGCCAACTCCGGGCCTCTTCAGGCCTCGGGGGACACAGGTCGGCATTCGGGCTAATCAGAAAACTCCCCGGGAAAACCTGTCGGATAATCTTCTCTATCCGACATCCAGATGCTCCATGATGTAACGATGCTGAAGCTACTTTTCTTTATCGCGCTCCAACCTGACCTCAGGGAGCGCGAGCCTCCAGAGGCGCCGGCGTGACGCAAATCTCAATCCGGTGGCTGACCGTGGAACGATGACATCAAGAAGCCCCGTTAGGATTTCGGCCGATTAGGACCATCCCTGAGGTAAGATCGGCATCCGGTGTAAGCCGGCATTCGAATTGCGCTGCGTCGACCGATCTATAATCCTGGGAAAGCTCAAATGGAAGGCTCGTACGACGTCGCTTACGTTGATGAAAATAAGAGACGTTCGATACGGACAGCGTTGAACGGATTCCGACGCGAGAGCGCCACGCTTGAGCATTTGGTCCGGTCAAAAGTGTGACTGACATCCGTACTGCGGGCTCCGGACTCATTAGTGTCCTCGACGGATCCGACGGGATGAGTGAATCGATTGAGCTCGAAATCAGAGTCGCATCCAAGGACGACGCCTCTAGAGATATCGGCAATTATCTATCCGACGATAAAAAGGTGAGCTGTCGCTGCTGAAAGCAAGCCTCACAGCATATTTTTCCTGCGAAACTCTTGGCGAAGCTCCAGTGGTTGGTTGAACCCCTGAGGCTATGACTAGCTATTCTCTGGAAGTCCTTGAGACTCATCTGCATGCTCGACGCCACATCCGGATCGAATGCCCATCCGGCTTAGAAGAATCCTGGAAACGTCTGGTCTAATGGAGGTGCGGGGTTCATGCGAGTCGCAGCATCGCCTGCCGAAGCAAGGCTCATTGAGTGAACACGCCGTATCTTGGTGTCTGGCAGTTCTGTTCAAGGGCTGAACTCCATGGACAAGGCCGACTTTATGTCATTCTCAAACGTAGGGCTTGGGATGAGACTTCCGGCGCCGGTCGAAGAAATTATCCCTCTCCGCTCATTCCCACGTCAAATTAAAATTGATGAGGGAATCGCAGCTCTCACAAGGAGGAGTCTTCAAGGAGCTCACAAGCAGTCTTTTCAACATACTCGAATCATGTTGACATCGAATATTCAAATCTCCACGGGCAACAGACGGATCTCGGCGGTGAAGTCGCGATTAACCTTGCTGGACCGCTTGCCTGTTCTATCCAGCCTGCGGTGATGATGCCAGGAGGCGATCTATGCGAATACGTTTCGGTCGAGGTCAGGGGAATGCAGACACAATCTTTCGGATTAGCTCCCGACTCCCGATGACCCATCTCGATCTCCAAACTTCGAGCGCCTTCGATCGATCGTGTCGGGGTATCTTAGAGCACATGACGGATTCGCAGTCAGAGAAAGAACATCTTCCATTGCAGCAGAACGATGGAACATCGGGAGAGGAGCGAGCTCCCGGAGCCGCAGCTCGTCTTCTTGAAGGATACAATGCCAAGCCTCTGTTTCGGAAATACTTTCTCGAATGCGTTATGGCGCTGTATACCCTCGGAGTCGTAATGTACAGCATTCCCTTACATTCGCTGATGTTCAAGAAAAGCTGCTTGTATGTGGCAGGCTTCAATGAAACCGTGTGTTCAGATCTAGAACAACAGGAGAAGAATATTAAGAATCCCGTTCTGGGGCACGCGAGCATTTACAGCACGTTACGGGATGTAGTGCAGAATGTTCCTGGTGAGTGAGGGCTTATATTTCTATATGGTCACGCAGAGACGCTAAACTCACGTCGAATGCCTGATGCCCGACTCCGGGAGTCGATATACTCCGAAGGGGGGGAGTAATCTGATTTTTTTTTCCAGCTGCCGTGGCTGCTGTGATCATCGGAAATTATCTCACTCGATACGGATTCCGAACACCTCTGATTGTTACTCTAGGAGGGGGTGTCTTGACTAGTGTGTGCCATCTGCTTACAGTCTTCTACATGCCTGCACCGCTGCTTTTCAACGCCTTAGCCGATCTTCCCGGATCGATCGCAGGTTCGATTGCGACTGTCTTTCATTGCCCGAATGCGACCGAAGCTCCGACAGAGCGCCCGGCCAGGATCGATTTTCCGAACGAGTCCGAAATGACGTTCCATTCGGTCTGATCCGTCCTTTCCGGCACTAGAACTCTCCTTTGCACCACCCGAGTGCGCGAGAGAACATGATGTTGTCCAGCGCGAGCCGATCTTATTCGGTATTCGGCACACGGTATTCGATTCCTTCGCGTCTGTGGGAATGGGTGCTAAAGAAGCCCGCCAAACTCCTTGCTTGAGGTCGGTGGAGGAGTTGTGAGTCCGACTGGAAGCGGCGACGCGAGTTCCTGTACTTCAGGGTCTTAGCTATAGACCAAAGGTGCACAACGCGGGCCGTATTGCGGCTTCTTGCTTTGCGCGGCTTTTCTCTGCGGCCTGCCGCCGTGATCCCGGAGCTCTAATCCTTTTCGTAAATTGTTGGTCTTGATAAGGTCGGAACTCGGAACTACGTGACTGATTTCTCGGAACGTGGCTTAACCCAATGATTCAGAACTCCACTCTCCTAGGCAATAATCAGTGTTTTCATTGCGGGGTCGAGCGGGTTTTTCCTGCGGCACTCCTTGAATCAGACTCCCCAACATTTGATGTCTTCCAGGTGGGACTATAGTGATATCCACCGCGGTCTACACGAACATCGCGACGAGGGTCCCAGAGTCCTTGCGACTTCACCGGATGACCACCATGAGTCTCTGCGCAGGGTTGCCGGCTCTCATCGCTATTGGCAGTGGAGCAGTTTTGTCCGAAATACTCGGCATGAAGATTCTCTTGGGCCTCGCAGCGATTATTTTGACGATTCCAGCCGTCATGGTCATCTTTTTTCTCGAAGACATCGGTGAGCCCATGAGGGTTGCTTGGCGAAGAATGAAAGATAGCTCATCGAGGAACGAACATATCATGAGATGATTTCGGAAGCAATGCCGAAATTTCAGAAACTCCCGAAGAGAACAAGAATGACAGCTGGCGGGAAGCATTTCTCCTGAGCTTGAAGAACGGTTTGAAGACTTCGATAGCCGTGGTTTCACTTAAGAGACCCGATGGGAAACGAGCGCAGATCATCTCTATGATAATTTGCATTGCGACCTCCAGTATCGGCATTGAGGCGTGCGGTAAGACCCCGACAAGGAAAATGGAATTGTCAAGCTCGCGACGATTCCTGAAGAAAATGTTCGATATTCGCTGCCAAAGCCGTTCATGACATATTCCTTCGACAGCTGGTCCCCTGGCATTCGCCTACCTCAAGAGCGTGTTGAAATATACGCAAACTCAATACGTGGTCTACACAACATTTTCTATGGTCCTCGCTTTCGGAGCCCTCTTTCCCCTCGTCGCACTCACCAAGCTCCTCAAGCTTAGCGCTCCTGCGATGGTTTCTCTAGGACTGGCGTTTTTCCTCGCAAAATTCGCACTTCTGAGCCTGACGGAATTCGACGAAATTTTTTTCTACGTCCGTGAGTCTTAGAGATATATTCCTCCGCAAATCGATACCTAGAACGTATCATGTACCTAGTTTGTACCTCCGCTGCACCGGAGAGCAGGTCGCATGCGACGGGAATCTGTGACCGCACATAACCTGGCGGTATACAAGTCTTCTATCTGCAAAGCATTATAACCGATAAGAACCAGAAAGTCCCGCCTACGGGAGAGTTGTTAGGCAAGGGACTTCAACCGCGGTGCCCATGAGAGGGAAGTTCCTTTTCATTATGGAACCTACGATAAACAGAAGACCGCTCAATAGGTGAAACTCTGAGATGATTGCGGAAACGTTCTGAGACTGAACGTACGAGATTCTGAGACTGTGCATGCCTCAAATGGATTCCTGCGGGGTTCCAACTTCCGAGTTGAAGTTCAAGCGAAATCCTCGCACGAAAAGCTTCGATTGTGATTGGAAGGTAAAAATGTTCGCATAAATTTCAGAGATCCTCGTCGGCATCCCCATTGTTCTTACGTCGCTCTCCGCGCGTTCGCATCTGACAGACCTTGTGGATAAGGCAGAGGTTGCAGTAGTCATGTCATTAACGTCACTAAGCGAGAAGCTACTCCCTCTGCTGAGTGCTTCACTGGGAACCGGTATCTTCGCCATGACGAGCTCTTCCTTTCCGGGCTGTTTCTACCTCGTCATCAGCAGCATATTCATCTTCCCCATAGTCTTGAGCCTGTGAGTAGTCGAGCCCGGAGGCGAGTCGAGTCATAGGGGAGGGTTCGGGCATGTACATGATCGTAATTCTGGTCTCTGAAGGAAGACTCGAAACATTCACGATTTCCTGCTCATCCACAGATACTCCACCTGGATTTTCCGTCGTAGCAAGAGAGATGAAAAAAATCATACCCATCTGTAAATTCAGCGTAAACTCGCTTATATTGTAGCGCTTCCAATGAGAAAACCCTCAACTTTCTGATAGTCGAATATCAGTGTCGGTATGATCGACTCGTAAATGTGATACAAGCGGTACCCATGGGAAATATGCGATTACTATGTGATCTTCCTCCGAAGACGTGATACGCGTGGAGAGAGCTCGAAATAAATACGCTCTGTTAATCGCTTCAGCGCCGTTCCTTCCACTTTCCTTTTCCTTGACGTCGTCAGTCCGTCGGTAGATGATCTCAGACTGAGTTATTGATTAGGAGTAACTCCTCTCTCGGGAATGCTCGAGGCACCCGTAGAAACCTATCAAATTCATTTGCGTCACGTGATTCAACTATAAGTTAAGCCGGGTCAGGGACCGATCGCGCCGGCGCGAGCGCGGCCGTCCCTTGGGGTCCGTGGGATTCCACTCTCTTCGAACATTGATATAGGACGTCCGGACTCCGTGCAAACGGACACGTTTACCTGCGCTGGGTCCATCGATCTGTGATCCTGGGCTTGCCAAAGAAAGAATCCCTCGTGTCAGCTAGCTTGCCATACGAAAAGGGGCAAGCGAGAACTGAAAAGTGTCATCTTCCTCTCTTCCTTCCTCAGAAATATCTGGGTTCCTCTCAAACTCCGTGAATAAGAATCAATAAATCTGCGGGAGTTAAATATTCAGTCATAGGCTCGAGACCCGACCCGCCTAGGACCGGGACCCAGACAGGAGCCAAGCCAAGTGCTCTATTCCCCCGAAGCGGAGCGGGAGGGAGCTCATGAAGTCTCAAAGACTAAGGGACGAGGCATTCGACCGTGTATGTCATCGCCGCGCATCGAGCTTATTCTTAGTTTTTTTTTGTAGAAACTCCGGGCTTCATTATTATCACTTCACCCAGTGCCACCGCATTCGAAGAGCGACTCCTCCGAGTACCGTTCTGGGTCTCTCGTCTCCACTCAGAGAATCATCGAATTCGGAGCTTCCGGAAGCCAAAACCGACCGGACCTAGTTGGTTGAAAACAAAAAAGCGTTCTTCGTGAGAGAACTCTTGTCGAGTTTTATTCGCTCTCTCAGATCTTTTGGAAGGCTGCTACGTCCACAGACTGCACGAAGTCTTCAAAATCGGTTATCTTTTCACTTAACTCATCGATTGAAACCTTATCATCCTCAACAACGCACACTATTTGCAACTTGTTGATTCCATATCCGACTGGCATGAGCTTCGAGATACCCCACACGAGACCGTCCATTGCGATGGAGCGGACAGCTTTTTCGAGCTCCTTCATGTCGGTTTCGTCGTCCCAAGGTTTCACATCGAGGATAACGTTAGATTTGGCGATTGGGCCTGGTTTCTTGGCTTTCTTCTCCGCATACTGCTTCAGTCTGTGGGAGAGAGTCACTCTGAGCTGATGCAGACATCGTCGAAACTTACGAACACTATCCAATTCGGGAAGAAGAATCGAAGTGCTTCGACGGGACAATATACCTTTCTTCCCGGATCCTTTCGGCTTCGGCATCACCTTCGTCGTCAGACCCGAAGAGATCCACGTCGTCGTCATCATCGTCGTCCTTAGCGGCTGGCGCCGCTTTTGGAGGTGGGCCACCCGCCGAAGGCCAAGATTTCTGTTCTCCAGCGGCAAACGATGAGATGTGTTTGAACCTAAGAGGGAAATCCCGAAATTTTTATTCGTGGCGTTGAAGCTCACTCCGATACTGGCGGAGAGCGTTTTCTCCGAATTCGAAGACAAAGGGAGAGCGTCATTATATAACCATAACCGTTAGCATTAGGTCCCGCTCGAGTCGCACAGCGAATTTTCTTCAAGTCTCTTCGAGGTGATCCTTCGACCCGTTGAGAGGTCGAGGGTTCCATCCAGACCCAACATCTCATATACTCACCAACGAGCGGCATGCGGGAACTTGGAGACCTCCGGAGCCGATTTCAATTGCTGAAGCGTATCGGCATCGGCTTTTGATGGCACATATCCCTGAACGTAGCTACGACTTTCCAGATGAGCATTCAACTGCTTGAGACCACTGTCAGATTTTAAATCGCCGAAACTCATCTTCAAGTCGAGCCAACCACGAATCGTGTATCAGCACCACGTTGCGGTCCAGCAGCAAAAGAGTATTTTGGTTTCGTTTTGGGCTGATGATGTCTCGGGATCATCGTCTGCCGGGGAAACGGCCGATGCCATGACTCGCGTCCTTCCCCGGATACTAGTCTCCAGAGCCACGGAAAAAGACGCGTAGGTCTCCCGGAAGCCAATTCGACGTCGCATAGGCCCAAAGCTCCCCGAGAGCACCACTGTGGGACTTCGGAGGGTGCGAGCGGGACAATCTGACGTTCATTCGTTCTCAGAGAGCGCGCTTGACACACGCCGTCTGCTCTGGGTGTTAGACTCTCACTCACTCTCTCTTCTCTTCGAAGAGCAGACGTCTAGGCGCTGTGTTTTGTCCCGACCGCTAGGAGAATAAGGATCATCTTGTGCACGAGTTGATGTGCACCCTGTGTTCGACAGAATTCTCATCCGAAATCTGACAGCGCTTGGGTGATCACCGTAGGCATCGATAGGACATGGACCCGGAATATCCGAAGCCCACGACGGCGGGCAGCAGTTTTCCCCGTAAGTTTCTGCATCCGGAGCTTTCATTCGACAGGGACGGGTAAAAATAGCGAGAAGCAAGGGTGCGCGAAACCGTTTCGTGCGAATCAGTGGGGAACTTCCCCGCTTTCAACACAGCATCGAGCACTTACATGTACGATCGAGGAATGGTTCTACACTATCAAATCGGGATCCAGAATTAGAAAATCCGAGCTAGATTCTCTTGCGAATCGGCTTATCCAGTACTCCATGGATTTCTTCCGCAGGCAATGCGCCCATCTACTCACCGTATTTGAATTTCGATCCCGCCTACATAAATGCCAGCGCTCCTGAATACATTCTGCAGGAAGGGGCCGGACCTAGACGAGGTCGCTTCGATCTGTGCTTCGCTCAAATAGGCTCCTGTGTGGCCGCGGGGAGTGCTATCGGTGGTGTGAGAGGATTGATACATGGCTTGGGTGAAACCCGTGATCTGCAAGGCTCGGTTAAACGTTCACAACTGATCAATTATACGATGAAGAGTGGTTCTTCGATAGCCAACAAATTGGGGAGCATCTCCGTGATGTACTCCGCTTTCGGTGTGCTCTTCAGCTACTTGAGAGAGAAGGATGATGACATAAACACAGGTGAGCGATCAGTCGATGCAATTACGGGGTTGCTGGACGGAGGGGAATCCGAAGGACCAGGTATCATATTAAATTATTCTTCTTTCCCAGTTGTATCTGGAGCTCTGACAGGACTTCTGTATAAGTCGACCGCCGGTCTGAAGCAGTCTGGGATTGGCGGTGCTGTCGGTTTAGGAATCGCCGCCGCTTACGCGGCTGTGACGAGCGAGCGAGTACGAGAATTCTTCTAGAGCTGAAGACCGAGTCTTAGTGGTGTCAATATTATCGTAAGCGGGTGAGACAGTTTATTCCTGTAGAAAGATGTCTATTCCCGATCCAGGATTTTTTCCGGCGAAATAAATTAATTTGTTGCCAGAAGAAAACTTTGTGTCGACTGTTCGGCTTCTAGCGCTCCCTGTCCCTACCGCCGGAAGCTCCGGGGGCCAATGGTGGTTCTTCAATACCGGATTTAGATTGATATGGGTCGAATCTATTGATGTCGCGTTCCGCTATAACCCTTGTTGAGAATCTTTTGAATATCCCACCTCACCCGATTTACCGACGTCGATGAATCGACTCATCCGTTGCACGGGAGCACGAGGAAGGAACGTGTATGCGCCTCCCCCTGTAAGGAGCCTCGCGCCTCTCTGGAGAGGCGACATCTTCCAGTTGACAAACGCTGCCGCCAAGAGTCTCGAGCTGTGAGGGGGATGCAAGGCCAGCAATGCACGATGCTGATCTCCATGTGATGCGCGGACGGCTCCGGCTTTTGGGCCATCTGCCGGGCTCTTCATTAAACTAGCTTCGTCGTGACGCAAATGAAATGTCATGTAAGCGCATAGGCGGTTCGCCTGTACGCAGTGTTTCCTAGCGCTCAGCAAAGATTTCCACTAGACTCTCACAGCCTGTGTTCACGGTGCGAGAAAAATTTCGTAGGAGTGAACCCGAATCTTGGAAAGACCGCATTCCGCGATGGATGGGAGAAGTAAGAGATCTCCGGCCGCTTGTTCGGGACTGTAAACGAGATGCCGACTCTGAACTTGAGTGATGAGGCGTTCCACAAAATTAGGGTCGTGGTCTCTTCATCACGACACGTGCGAAAATCGACTCCCACCAGGCTGTTTGCCTCTAGCCTCGTTGGCTCCCTGACGACTTCGGGACCTGTCAGTCATGTTAACGTCACTTTTGACTGACTCGATTCAGAGACTTCACGGCTCTCCGCGGGAGGGATGCGGGCTCAGACCACCAAGCTTCCACGGTGCTTCCGAACTTTCCGTATCGAGGCGAGATTTCTGAGATAGGGGCCTAGAGGGACAAGAATTCTAAAAGCCTACGATTCCCCCCTCCCCGTTTTCACGGGGCGACTATGATTTCCCTGAGGATTTCATGTTACACATCAGCGTTCGGATCACTTCCACTTGTTTTTTATTGTTCGAAGGAACGGGGAGGCTCAGGCCACCTCGCATTCGCACCCGTTGTGGTATGGTTTGTTCTGCGCTACCTTGAATTTGTTGTCAACATCGATCGGCATCGTACACTTCGCGCACGCGAAATGCTCCGGATGCCAAGTTTTATTCATCGCAGTGACGCATTTCGCTTTGATGGCTTCGCCGCATTTGGCGCATCTGGAAAGGAGAAGTTCATTGTAATCGGTAATCTGCTGAGGATAAATGCATGACAGAGAGGATGGTCTCGTGTCTCGCCCATGTATCGATCCTTCCCGGGAGCTCCAATCTTCGGAGAGATTCTATGCGACAACTCGCGACCTAATCGAAGAGAGGGGAGTCCAAGACCGGAAGATTGGCGGGATAGAGTAATTCGCTTGTGCATTCATTTGGGGCCGGCAGAATGAGGGCAAGCGAACTCATCGAGTGAACAGACCGGAATTCCGAGAGACTAGAATTCGTTAGCGGTCATGGTGAGCTTTCGGAGAATTTTGACGAGTCGAGTGAAAAGTTTTCGCTTCATTTGTCAACCGCGCGACTTATCTATCAGTCTGAAGTGTTTTTTCACAGCTTGACAGAGCTTCAGATTATGAGCACCTCGGCGTTGGGGAGATTCTGACTTCCTAACCCTCTCATCGCCTCACTGCCGCCAAACTCTTGAGGAAGGTACGAATGCTCGTTGATGGCGAGTGGTATCATCGCTCATCAAGCTTTACTTACTTCGGCGAGAAAGTGTTGTGGTAGCATTCCTTGCAATAGGGTTTGTTTGCTTGTTCCATGAATTCATCTTTACCGATCAAGCTCATCGCACATTTTCCGCACAAGAAACAGCCGGGGTGCCAGTTCTTTTTCAGAGCCGTCACAGTCTGACCCGACAACTTCTTCTTGCAGCCTGGGCACGTATCGCTCATAGTTGCTCGGCTTCGGAGCGAAGCTTCGGTATTCTGCGCGTAAATTAGTGAGACCGGGAGTGAATGGCGCTTACTCAGTGAAACCTCAGCTGCTTTAAGAGTCGTATGGAAAAGTGGGAAGGGTCCTCTCACACTCTGGCTGTTCTCCACGCTCTAACTCAGGTCTTGTTTGATGACAAGACCAACCGCCTAAGCGCCTACGCTCACACAGAACCTGGCTGGAAACAGCGCCAGCAAAAGCACATTCTACGAGCTGCCTTCAGAGCCAAAGAGCCTAAACAAGTACGGCCAATACCTACCGAGAATCTTTGAACTCAGGCTAGCGATGGCCAATCTACCCAGTTTAAGATTCCAGTCCGTCAAACACTCACTCACCAGTCGTCAGTGAGATGGTTGAGCTCGATAGAATCTGGCGAGCATATGACGTCGGGACACTAAGTGCCTGTCCGCTGCGTGTTAGCACAGGGAGTTTCGAAACTCCATCAGATCTGTCAAATGTCAGAGCCAGCCTCGATTTGATCTTGATTACATCGTCACGCTGCGGTCGGTCGGCGACCACAGTCGACTTTCCTTTCTTTTTTGCGAGCGCAGCCTCTTTCAGGCGGTGGGCGTCAGCTCTGGCTCATGACGTCGAGACTCGTTTGCGCAAACAAAAAGTGTACGTCCGATATGTGGGCGCGCCTTCCACGACAGACTCCGACTCATTGTGCTCTGTTGCGCGGTCGGACTTTCTCCGGAGGTCCCTCTAATGAACATATCGGATTACGGGCGCGGATCTTAAGGGTCAATCCGGTTCAGTCCCGAAATTCGAATGAACACCACAGGAAGGGATTCCATAACCTCTTTGAGTTGGAGTAGAGCTTGCGAGATCGCGGTTCGCGCTCTCCTTATTCTCGTCCTGTCCAAGATTATCCGCCTGCCATCGCCGCGATTTTCTGAACTACCGAGCACCCCCCTAATAGCTGAGCTCCTCTGCCCCTTGATCGTGATGTGCCGCTTACAAATTATTGGCGGCTGGCTCCTGACGCAGTAGACCAAAGTAGGCAAGGGGTCAAATCAGAAATTCCAATCGTGAGCTTCCCTCGGATTACCACTTTGCCTCAGAATTCCCGGGTGATGAAATCGTCTGTAATCACAAACTAGTCGATTATGCATGATACGGAGCTGGATGGAGCGATATTGAGCAGCTCCCCAGAATCCTTGCCCCAGATCGATGCGTGGGAGCTTATAATTGTCGTGGGCTGCTTCGTGATCCCCGGTCGCCTCGACTCGCAGCCTATGGGACGTATCCGTCCCTCAGCCAGCCCAGTTTCGGTGCCGTAAACTGCGTCAGCAGCTCACCTAGCTTAAGGGCAGGGATGTGATCCAATGTGCTGCGAGGGAATCCGGACTGATCTTCATTCACGTCATATCCTCTCGAGTCATTGAGGATTGAGATTCTGCACAGTTCACGTCATCGGATGTTTCGTACGACCCGCCGGAAATTCCTGCTGAAGACTGGTTGGAGCCCGATTTTGATGAATTGCTCCTCACCAGCAATGATAAGCAGCGACAGGTCATGGATACATTGGTTCGCCCCACAGACCGCACCACGAGTCGCAAGACGGATCAACTCAGCGAAGGAGTCTGTCGTTCGAGAAAGCTGAGCCTCTCGAGAGTTCGAGTCGAAACTTCTGCAGCTGTCGGCAGAATTCAATTTTACGGGTGCATTCTCTCGAAGGGATGAAACCGATACAGTCGAACCCGCTCATAAGAGATACGCATATGAGAGACAGATTCTATTCCCCGGTTTCCGAGCCCATAGTCTCCCATGTTAAAAAAATCGCGTATGGGAGATTTGGAAACTCGCTTATGAGAGAGACTCGCTCATAAGAGACTCGTCTTGATTCCCCTTCTCATAGGATTCCATGTTGAAGGATTCGCTTTCAAGAGACAGGTCGGTGCACTTTCCTCACGAAACGATTTTTTCCCGATTGCGACTGCTTCTTCGGCCTTCTAGACGCGCCTTAGGCTAACGTATGCGGGCCCGTGAAGAAAGGTTCATCATTTCCAACCATTCCATCCGCGATTGGGTGTTTCCGCGCATAAGAGAAACTCGCTCATAAGAGACTTCTCACGGTTCCCCGAGGTCTCTCTTATAAGCGGGTCCGACTGTAGGTCTACTCGAAAATTATTCTCCACCCGAAAGGAAGGCCCGGCCGCGGCATTCAAGTTCTCTTTGAGCATGCGAACATCGCGATAGAAAACTTGACGGAGAACACCGTAACCCACTCTCACTCGCGTCCTCGCGAGGGGTGAGAGTCGACGATTCGTGCCTATTGCGGGAGCTCGAGCCTCTATGAAGCTCACCCGATCCCCGCTTCGAGCAAGATTATAAGAGTGTTTCATTTGCTCTCTTTGCCTACGTAGCGTCAGTTGGCGACCCGCTGGGAGCTTCGCCGACTTCGAAATCATGTTAGTGTTAGACATCTCTTCTTTGCCTGAGCATCCTTTTGCCTCCTGTTGAAGAGATGCATCGGAAACCCGCTTCCTTGAGATGAGATCATGTGCTCGTATGATTCAAGAGGAACATGCGCGTGTTTTTGCAGGATTCGCTCGATCATCTTCATCGCTCTCCTTGCGGGGATTTCACTGGCGGCAAGATTCGGGCTTTGTCCCGACTCAGGAGCTCGCGATGCTCTCAAAATAATGGGATGTTCCTGTGACGAGAACCGATTGCGCGGAAACACATTCGTCTGCAAAGCGAAGCTCTGGGACAAAGAGACATCTCTCCAGTTTGCGAAGATTCTAGCCGATGCGGATATCACGGTGAGTTCGATCTTCTCCTGCGACGAGTTCACTGACTCCTCTGCTAGCTCCCGGACAAGTTTTCGATCCCCGTCCCTGATGAATCGCTTCTTCGAATCCACAGAACTTCGAGCTTCATGGCGAGCTGACTTGGCAAGATGAGAGAAACGTGAGTCTGCCGTACAAACATCGCGCACATGTCACAAGTGTTCTGTCAGTGATTTCTCCTGTGGGAATTTACTTTGATTCTTGCAGGCTTTCGCTCGCCTATTGAGATTGAAACCGACCACTCCCTTCTCGTCGCTGTGTAACTTGAGTATTCGCCGGGTTCGTCTTCGGGATCTCATCTATAGCGGTCCGATGCCCGAATGCTCATTCCCCGAACTGAGGATGGATAATGTTGTGATGAAAGATGAAGAACATCCCAATCACCCCAAGGCTGAGTTCCGGGCTTGAGAGCTCAAATGCCCCGAAGGAGTCATTCACCCCAGAGCGGCAAGATCTCATCGCGTATGTTGTATCCAAAGGACGAGTAAATTACCTAAGTTTATCAACGGAGCTCTTCTGGAGATTCTCCTTCCGGAAGGCTTTGCGAGCAAGGGTAGCTTCCCAGAAGCTTCCAGCTATTCCATCCAAGAAGAATAAATGAGTCACTCAAGACTGCGAAAGACTGTCCCCCCACGCGCAGGCTAGAGCTCCGAGCAGCCACTGGGGTCATCTTGTTCGACGAAGGTGAATCTAAAGACTTGAACCCTAAGTAAGGGGCGCGAAGGAAACCTTTCTTCCCCCCAGATGCGTTTTTATTTCACTGTACTCGGTTTGTTGTCTCCTTCCCACCTGGGCTGGGCCCGGTGTAAGGCGAGGCACTTTCGCTGAGACGAAACTGTTGAGACACGGGTCAGCGGGAGGAGGAGAAGTTGGAACGAATAACCGAAGAAAAAACGTGGGACTGGAACCCATACTTCCCTCCTGCTGTATATTCTCGTAGTGATTTGGTGCACTCGCGATCGTGGAAGACACCGTGGTACCCGTTATACCGGCTATACAGTAGGTTCATTCCCGCGAATCGAATGTCGATGCATGACCTGGATGTTGTGCTCCATCGAGCGCGTGAGTTTGTTGAGGGCTTCTTATTCTCTCACGCGGCAGGCTCAGCATATAGAGCTTCTTTGCGGTGAAGATTTCTGTGGCCCGTTATAGAGATCGAACTGGCCCATCGAAATTCGCTCACACCATTCTAGGGAATATGTTGTTTAGCGTGGATTCTATTTAGAGGACCGACGAAAGGAAGCCAAACTAGTCAGCCAGGATGCCAAATGTGGGGCATCTTAGGCAGAGGTACGACTCAAGCGGTGCCCTGCGGGCGCTTATTACGGTCTCCACATCTACAGCATCAATCACTCAGTCTAGCAGATTGAATCTCCAGGACAATGATGCGCGGACGGCATCGGCCAGACAGCGACGCCGGCGTGTGGAGTGCACGCGAGAGGTTACAGGATGCTCCGCAGGATTCTCAAGACACACTTTCTCGGCCCTGTAAGTCAGGCACGGTTTCGCTTCGCTATCTCCGAGGTAGAAACACGACCTAAGTGACCCCTACGCTTGCAACCCGGTCAGCCGAGGGACAATTCTCCCCTGCTTTTCGGATCCGATGCGTTGTACTTCGGGGAGACTTCTGGTCTGCGCGCTTCGCCCATGTTCCCCTCCCAATGAATCCCTCGGCGACGCGACTTAATTAGAGCAGTTCAGCGCAACGAACAGCTCTCCCGGGTAGTCTTCTCGACTTGAAAGAGTCGAGCTCATAGGATGAATCTGTTCATCGAAGACATGAATGATCCAAGCGGATCATTTTGAGAATTATGTAGATGTATTCCTCGAGGACATCGGTGAATCCCGTCTCAGGAAGCTCGCGGGCTGACGAGCTCAGAGGGACGCCACCTTAGTGTGATATAAGGGAAAGTGTCTTCTCGACGCGGGGATCATGCTTCTTATGCTGTGGGAGCTTACGACCACGGAAGAGCTCTGTACCCCCCCCCCCCAAGTCTCTGAGCGTGAACCCTCTCGGATGACGATGATCGCGTTTCCCCTTGGCCGGAAAACTTATGCCCGCAGAAACTGTCGGTATTGAGCTGGTGGCGTTCGGGACGAATTTCTCGATTAGGCTCAACCGAAGACGGGACTCCCCTGAGGGCGGTTTCGCGCGACCCCCATCCTGAATCAACCCTTTCGGTATATGGAGGTAGTCGTTTGACAGGAGTATACTTGAGGTTGAGCAAAATGATCCCCACGCCTATGAGAACTGCTGAGGGTCCCGCAAAATAAGAAAGGGTATTTCGCCATGTTTGAGAGAGTGGCCTGGAAGCGGAACGAGAAGGAGGAACCACGGCTGACCACGCACTCGCACTTATCGCGGTCGCTGTTATTGTCACTGTTCAGAGCCACGGGCGACTATAAGCTACGGGAGCTAAGGCAGTGGAGTCGTTCCGAGGAGTCATTCCGTTTCCGAGATGGCACTGAGACGTATGATCTCGAAAATTTATCTGGAAAAAAACAGAAGTGCGCTCGGAGTTCTCAGTCAGGTCAGTGACCATAGCACCTCGAGACATCCTCTGACGGTGAGGAAACCCAGGCCAACCTCCAAGGGAGCCTCAATACGGGATCAAATGTCTGCTCTATCCAGCCAGTGCGATTCGATGGCTCACAATTGAAATTTGTACCGATTCCTAGGGTCCAAGACGCGTCGAAATCTCCCAGCGGAGTCCCTTCTGCTCCCTCCCGAAAGCGGAGAACTCTGTCGCCGTATCCTATTATAAAGGTACGTCAAGGTTTTCTTTCCTTGGTGGGAGAGTGTCTCATCTTGGACTTTCCGAGAGGATACACCGCTCACCGGGATCCCCTCCTTGCAGGCCTGCCCTCGATCATTCTGCCACTGCCATCGCGCGCTGAGCGATGCAAATTCACAGTGCGTCCGATCGGCAACACGCTTCAGGATCTGATGGACGCGATCCGGAACGAAGATCATGGGGTGGATTTCCTTGTAGCACATACCTTAGGTGTGTTCCGCGGCGAATGGTGCCAGAAATCAATCGCTTGAGAATTGAAGCCGAGAGGATTAGACGTCGGGACGCTTCTAGCTCTTGTAGCCCACTCTTGAGAATCCCACCGATCATCGGAAGAAAGCTACGTCAGCCTATGACGATCTGCTTTCCGAGAACCCTCTGAGGGGGAAATGGCGTTCGATCGAATTTCGAAGGAGGCGTTCCGCCGCAATTAAAATGCCGGCAGAATCGACGAATTCGCTGAGAGAGGCGAGTGCTCAGAGTTGGAAATTCTCTCCGCAGAGGGCTACCGTATCGCCGGCAACACAAGCATCGAGCTTTTGCTGCAGAGTCCCTTCAATCTCACAGTCAATAACACTGTATACAAAGTGGAACCTCCTGAAACGCGTGAGTATGCGGCAGATTGGCGGAGTATATTGGAATTTTGGACTCCATTCTGCGGAATCGCCCTCCTGAATCATTGATTTCCCGTCAAACCGATAATTCCTTCATGAGTCGGTATTCTAAGTATTTATTCGGCTCACGTTCCAACCCCGCTCCGGAGGTTTGAACTCACTCTGACATCTTCCAGAGGCGAAGCTCTCCTCAGAGGAAGAGGAGTCGCTCGCAGATGTGAAAAAACTCGTCAATCGTCTGTTCGAGAATCTGACTGTGTCAGAGCATCAACTTGAACAGGAAAGGAAAATTCTGGAGAAGATCGAGCAAATACAATTTGAAGTGGGACCTCTGGAGAAATTGAAAGATGAGGTTGCCCGTCAGTCTCAGCGCCGGACCACCATAATCGGCTGGACTGGCCTGGGTCTCATGGGAGTACAGTTCGGTGTACTCTCTCGTCTCACGTGGTGGGAGTACTCCTGGGACATAATGGAGCCTGTAACATACTTCGTTACATACGGTGAGTTATCCTCGCGAACAACATTACTGGGGCAGTCTATCCCTTGAGGGTCGATTCCTATGCTGCCGTCTCTGCAGGTACTAGCATGGCCGCCTATGCGTACTTCATGGTGACGAAACAAGATTACTACCTGCCCGACGTGAGAGATCGTGAATTCCTGAAAGCCTTTTGGAAAGGTGAGCCGCGAGTTTCAGCACACTTTAGCGGTGCCAGTATCTTTGCGGCACGTTGATATCCTTACACCGTATTAACATTCTTCTAGGGGCGAAACACCGCGGTTTGGATCTTGAACGATACAATGAGCTTCGGAATAGTCTAGCAGAGTGCCAAGAAGAGCTAAGACGCCTACGCGATCCGTTACAAAAGCATTTGCCACTAAGAGAGATTTGCGACGATTGTGTGCTGCATAAGGGACTCGAAGAAAAGAGAAGGAAAGACGAATACTAGAAATATTCCTGGCGATGATTAATTTGTTTGTTATAGAGCCTTTAAAGAATACTTATCGGCTTGCGGGCGAAGGGTGTGTCGTCCGCCCATCACCCGCGATGAAAGTTATTCCCAAGTTCGTATGCAACCCGTTGGCTCGAGGCTGCAATCCTGATCACGGCGTCGGTCAGGACGAACTGCTATCCCCAGTACCCGAACTCATAGCAAGTTTCTGGACCGGCTAGAGGTCTCTGAGATTCTTCATTCGTCCGGAAACCCCGGTTTCTCGTAGTTGAGCCCGATGCTCTGATGATCCCATAATGCTTAAAGCCTCCACCCGACGTCGGATAATCATGAGCTTGAGAGAAAACGTTATCATCAGAGAGCCAACCGACGAGCGGAGAAAGATTTAATTTTGCCAAGGTGGGCGGCAAAACTACATTCGTAGGCGGGTCGAAACCCTCGTTCAAACAAGCCTAGATTCCACCGATTGATGCACATTCGACGATCCAATCTCTCTAAGGCAAATGCTTCTGGGCGGTCGATAATGCCTTCATCAGAATAAAACGATCCAAAGAGAAATCTGCACCCGTCTTCTTTCGTTCAGACTTCTTCGATTGCACCCGACTAATTTCGATTCTTGGCCAGCTCATCCGTGTGGGGACGGCCGGGCCAAACTGTCAGAGAGCACCCGACACGATCGACAACCTCCCGGAGGACATACCAAAGCTGAAATTCTATTGAAGGACAACCAAATCTTGATATTCGGTGTTTTTTGGAGCGTTTTGGCCTGCCTTCTCTTCGAATTTTCAGTGCCTGAACTTCGCAGCTCTAATTATTAGCTATGTGGTATATTGGAGAAGAAGTCCGTTCGCGGATGAAAAGTCACCCCTTGGGTGAGAGCCAATTTTTCTGTGCGCCGTCGGGCCCGGCTGGTCGCTTCGCTCATCTGTAGCGCCAGAGAGAAACTTTCAGAATAGTTTCGGGAGCTTCGAGGCAGCAGAAAAACGAGATGTTCTCGGGTTTTACGTCCATTAAAAAGAAGCTGAGTGAGATTCGGAGGTAAGGAAGGAGCGCGCTTTTTTTGTGAAATCTCATTTCATTGAATTCAGTTTACAAAGCCTTACGACGCTTGCCCGCGAAGGATTCCTAGAGTCACATCCTCACTAGTATGTATATTTATATATAAGTATTCGATTTGTATACCCGGAAAGAATCTCATATACAGCCATATACGAAGTTCTATCTAAAATGTTTCTCGCGGGTTGCGCTCAATCAAGTCTTCGACAGCAGCAAATCGAGTCGATGAGCGCGGTTTCAATACGATGAGCATAAATCCAACACCTGCGATGCATTCGACAGATTTCTCCGTCGGCTTCTGAGGCATTCTCTGTCTCAATTATCACAAAAAAATCAAGAGCACACTCCTGCAGAACCGCATGGCAAAAGATCCGCACTCCGTCGCACCACAGCCCGACTTTCTTCTATCTTATACTCGTATGCAGCCTATACAAAGGATTGCTCGTCCAGCATCACTCCCACGCTCGGTCCAATGAACGCATGGATTATGGAACCAGCATCGGAGCCTGACGTATTAAAAATTCTCCAGTCTTCGATTCTTCATATGTGCACAATCCGAGCAGGATCACGACACTGATCCTTCTGATACTTAAGGAAAATGTCGCGGCAAACGCCATAATCACCGAGAATTAGAGGGTCGCATGAGTACCAGGAAAATATCATCCGAACCACCGTCCTCACCATCGTGTATCAATTGATATCTATACACTGATTCGCTACCATGGAAGCAATGCTGCCCGCGCATCGAAGGAGCATGATCGATTGCTTGCTGTCGGTGGGTACTCGCACAATAAATAATCCATCGTATCGCAAATCGAGCTTACCCTAGAAGCCTAAGAGACTAGAATCGTATGCGGATTTGAAAGTATCATTGAGCTGGAAAAATATAAATCTATTCACACATCTTTCCCGTGGCCATCAGCAAGTATCGTCTGGCGGCATCGTTGCCAAGCTGCCAATTTCAGCATTCTGCTCGGAGAGAGGAGACGTACAGCTAGTGTCATCGCAAGATCTTTTCGTTTGATTTACTTGATGATTAGAATCATCTTGAATGAAAATATTGACCGGCATGAGGTCCCTAGCAGTCGGCAGATCTTTATCTTTGGGCGGAGCGTTTTGCACGAATATAATACGATTGAATGCTTTCCATCGTTTGAAGAGTTGGAAGTACATTCGACATTGGACATACATGAATACAGCTCCACCTGAAATTGAAAAATATATGTATTGCCAATTCAGATCGATACAGAGACGACGCAAATTATCCAATCGACTTATTCATGCGGAGAAAATGCTGATGTTGCACCACGAATGCCGCAGGAAGGGCCTGCTATTGTCATTTGATGTGCTGCATGACGGGGCTGGTGGATCAATAATAACGGTTGGACTCATTGGGAATGAGATTTAGAAAGCTTTGAGAGAGAAATGGGAGCCGAAGCCAGTCGTGATGTCTCTGGGCAGGAGCACCGCCAGAGAGCCTCATCGGATGGCTTTTTGAGCTTCGAATCGGAGGTGTTACAAGGCGCGGGTGAAATCGAGCGAACTGGAGCTCGATCGAAAACAAAATCTCTTACCAGTGAAACCGACAGCGAGCACTATGAGTTTCGTCCAGAATGGCCAATCTAGATCCCCAACCTTCATTTCCTCCGATGTTCGATCTATCAGAACGTACAAGGACCACACCACGCAGGTTATCGCAACCAGATGAAACGTTATAGAACAGAACACTTTCCGTTGCTCTATGGCACTGAGGTCGAGCCGTTCCCACTGAAAAGTTTCCGAATGAGGATTTTATCACTAGGAGCTTAATCGTCCGAGACCTGGATGGCACTTGACCATCGATGATCAGCTCAATTCCCTCGGGAACGTTCTTCCGAATTCAAATCGTTAGGTTACAAGACAGTCCACCATGTAGGAGCAGTGATCACTCTACTCGCGTTGCGGGAATTCCAGGGAAAGAGAGTGATCCTAGAGGTCTCACCTTGGTGAATGGCTTTACTTTCGTGTTCATTATGAACTCGAACTTGCAGAGCTCACAACATTTCGTATCCGAGGATTTGATCCATTGTTGCAAACATGCCTGATGGACGTATTTCAAGGAACCAGCACAGAAGCACGGTGATATTAGCGGCAGCTGTATATCTCCTTCGCAATGACAGATGCGACAGATATCCTTGTCGGATCCTGCAGGAACGGAGGGTTATTCTTACACTCGACCCGTTTCTACTGTCGGTTGAAGGCAGAGCTAATAGTCCGAATCAAAGATGTCAACTCGGATTCTCTGGATCGCGACTCAATGATTCGGATCGGCACGGAAGAAGGCACCGGATTGGCGGCGGATCGCGCTCGGTGCTGTCTGAGTCTCGTCCCTTCCGACATTTTAAAGCATTCCATGACACGAGTCGCAGATCTACAGTCGATGCGACAGCGCACAAACCTATCGTTTCATTGATGGATAGCATAGATGGTTGGAGCGAACTCTTCCTGGTAGTGGCGTCCTGTCCAATGATGTCGACAGGAGCCATGGTGGTCTGAAGTCCTCGACTGCACGTCTGAAACGCCGATAGGGAATCTATGAAGAATCGGCCTCTTCAACGACACTCGGACCTATAGTTGCATTTCGGGTCCCTAAGCTCGATCATATGGTTCCCTGTCGAGCCATTGCAGGAGCTCTCTCCCGTGTTATTTGCTCGTTAGGCCGCCTTTCGTTCTCCGGAAAGGCCACCAGCAGCCGACCTATGGCTGGCAGCGCCCTCTTGTGAACAGACCACAAAGAGTGACAAAATCGGGCGGCATCGTATCAGAGTCTGAAGTCCGACAGTAGTGATCTAACTTCGTCCCTGGTCACGGTCAGTGACCCGATCATGGAAAGCTCTCGAGCCGGTCGTCCAAGTCGAGGACCGATATTCGTAACATGGTCACAGCTGTCTTGTGGGGACACCAGGGAGGGGAGAATCTCTGCCTCTCTGTCTGTCTACGTCTGTTCGGGGGGACTGCGAGAGCTACGTAGCTTTGAGGTAAACGGACACCTGATGGACCTACTGAATTCTCGAGCACGCCAGGCTTCCCGGGCCTTCAAAGGAGGACTCCACGAGCTCCGGATTCGAGGTGTCGATTCTGCCGTAATATACGATGGGATTGCCGATGAGCATGATAAGATACACCATTCCAAATACAACGGGGAGGCTTCTTCGGAATGATGTGCATTCTTGAAGCCATACCTAGCGCTGGTAGAGGAGCGGCGCCAAGGGGTGAGAGAGTCCTATGACATTGATCGCGAGCGCACGAGATCCCCTTTTCCTACGGATAAGGTGGGCCGAGAAGTGCTGAAGAGAAACTTCCCAGGGATCATCTGTTCAGTCCGGGTTCCCATAATGCTCGATTCGCGAGATTCCTCCTCCGTTCGCGGTGAGCGAAGTCGGTTCCGATAAAATCTCCTCTGCGGTTATCGATCTTCGTACCTGACCCTTGCGTATGGAGTCAGCCCGCAGAGAACTATAGAATCTCGATTCATCCCGTCTGATTAGAAGTGTTCGATCGAGGAAATGCAATCCAGCCAATAAAGGGGAAGACTAGAGAGCGAATTCTCATTTTTGTATATTCTCCGAATTATTGTGGATGTAATTTCCCCCTTTTCGGTCTGTTGCGTATGCCTATACATTCCTTGTCCCGTGAACATTCGCTCTGTCGGCTTGACAGATCCCTCATGAACGACCAATCAAGCGGATATTCTCGAGCGAAGCCTCGTCCGTCCGTCTCTGGGACTGAGAACCGCTAGGGGAGTGCGCTGAGACTCCGTTCGGAGCCGGTGACCCCAGTTACCGCCCCGGAAGGCGGATGTCGTCGATCCGGTCAGGGAACGAAATCTCCGTGTGCTCGAGACCGGGCTATGCCCATCAAAGCGGAAACCTTCCATTCTCCGACGGCTACACGTGGCGACCATTGAGAACCTGATCGAGATACAGACGGATCCCGATTGCAGGATCGGAAATTTGAACGCTTCTCTAGAAAAAAAGTTGCCACTGGAGTCGAGTTCAGGAAGCGAAGCTTACGATACATGTGGGACGCATCATGATGACTGCTCGACGTCTAAATCCGCGTCCCCAAAAATGAAATCTGATCGGAACAATAAATGCTGCACGAATCAAGTTTTTTTCAAGAACCTTGCTCAACCCTCCGCTTGCAAAGCTTACGTATCTTCAGTCCTCCTCTGAATCAGAGAGCAACAGGACCCAGGGCAACGACAAGCATCCATCGGCACCGGTAGTCACGACTTTTCTGGGGGCTCATTTCCAAGACTCAGGCACAGAAGTGAGACTCGGAGAGCTGCCAGAAGGAAATTAGTCTCGGCGATTGCAAAAGACTCTTCGGAACCAGAATTTGTAATGGTAATGAGTAATGAGGGCCCTGTTGAACCTGGGACAGCATCTCGGGAGCTCTTGAGAAGCACAAGCGCCTCATTGCAGCGAGCGGGAATGCAAGCAGATGCACTTCATTTTCGATTGTGTCAAGGTATGCATTGTCCTACAGAAGCAACTCGCCAATAATTGGTGGGAGAGCTGCATTCTATGTGAGCACCTCGTGTACCCCCCTCATGGGGTGATGATTCGTCCACTGAGACATCGTGAGTATGCGCGGAGTGGATGGCTTGCGGAATCCAGCTCGAGGGCGCAATGATATCCCAGAGCGGGAGGCTCGCTGTCCGCCGCTCCTTCTTCACTGCCATCGGGGAAGCGGAGGATCCGGTGATCTGCAGCCCGCATTAATTGATCCCAGTCAATTGGAATCCAATAAGAGCGAACCTGGCGAGCCGATGATCCTATACATAGTCGAATGGAGCGATCCAGCCTCCCAGCAGACCATACTCGAGTCCAGAGACCTACTATCCAAAGTATCGACGCATCATGCAAATGCATTTTGGATCGGGGCGAGGCTCCCGAGGATCAGGAGTAAACACCAGAAGGGAGACGGAGGGAGCCTATTTGCGTTCCAGACAGAGGAGCTGAACGATAACTCTTGAGTCTCTGAGCTCCGACGCCGGAAGATCGTGCGCAGCTTGAGCCCGCCAGGAGGTCCTTACAGTTTGAGAAACTTCTGAGAGGCTGACGACGCGACGCAAGAACTACAGAATTGCGGAGCAGGTGAAGGATTCTCAAATTTCTGATGCAATGGCTCTGAGGATCTAGAAAAGCAACATTTGGACCACGCTCAACTGGGAGTTCGGACGGGTACCACAGATTGATGGTGATATTGTGATTTCGCGCCTCTTCGAGATCTATCCTCGGAGATTGTGTTCCTGAAGCTCAGGGAATGGGTTTCGATCATAGTTTTGTCTCCCAAGGATCCAAGTACTTGGAGTCCCCGTGACTGAGAATATCATATGCACATCCCTCGGTGGAGGGGTCTCTGCTTCGAGTGAGGAGCCTCGAAGTCCCGCCACTTATATACAAATAATTATTCAAATGAACAGAGTGGAAATGCATTTGTATATCAGGACAGTCTCGAGGCCTTTGGGGACAAATATTCGGGAGCAAACCGAGCCGCTTCACGGAGTCAGCTGGATCAATCGAGGAACTCGTGCTATGTCTGAGCGTTCCCCCATGGATCGGCTACACTGCCACTCAGGAAGCTCCGATTGAGAGGGCGCGTTAGCCCGTGGGAGCTGTGACCGAGGACTGACCCAAGTCTCGCCACAACGGACTCGAAGCATGTTGTTGTAGAGCCCATTCCGACCCGCCGATAGGTTGGAATGGAGCTGTAGAAAGTCTCTGCAAGCTACTGCTGGCGCCGGCGATCAATTTTGCCGAAAAAATGGTCACAGAATAGATCGATCGATACGAATACGCTTATCTCACATCCGTCGCGGATAAGAGTTTCGACCCAAGCATTGATAAGTCTAAGCCGGAAAGCCATTGATATAAAAACTACCGGGCGATGAAACTGTTGAGCAAAAGTGAAGGGACAATCGATCTTCATCTTCGTTTCGCTCGAAGGATTGCTCTGGACTCATGAGTAAGAGTAATGATCAACTCGGTCCGGATTGGAGTGATGCAGCTCTCGTTATGAATTTCCCAGCTTCTCTTCGATCCGTGGGGGAACGACTTGATGAGCGATAGAAGGGACCTCGATAGCGAATGGTGGTTCAAGATCAAATCGTTCGGTTCTCAATTACAAGCTTTTCAATAAAACATTGATCTCTACGGCAATGGAGGACTCGGACCCCATTATGTACACGCTTAATTGAATCGATGCGAAGCATCGATAGTGCTATTCAGAAATGTCGAGCATGACGACGAGAGATCTCCTCCGGGCTTAGACTCTAGCTTCTCGAGCAGAACGCTGAGCGAATCCCGTGTCGGGATGGGAGGGATGGAGGAGGATAACGATCCGACCTCATCGAATGTGTAGAACCTCAGTTCCAAAGCTCAAAAACTTGGTGATACCTCGAAAACAACGATTCTCGATCCAATGACTCACCTTCCTCGGCAAATGATGCTTTTTCGGGATGACATATTCAATATAGTCTTCGAAGAGTAAGGGAGAATCCAACATTTTCAAGAAACCTCCCTACGTGCCAGGACAAAACTTATGCTCGCAACGGCTGAGCGCGTCCCGAGCTCGCGAGAGTTACCGAAAATATTCAGAGCGACTTGTTCTGTGCGTGGATGCAATTTCATTCACTCGCATTGTCAACCAGGTGCTTGACAACTATCAATGACTCATTGAATTTTCTCTGCTCCCTGTAAGAGTGAGGAGTCGCCTCCGATGTCGGTACTCCTATCTCGTCTCCATTATGGCTCCCTGCCAAGAGCACGGTTCCGTGGATTCATTCAGTACCCCAGTTCGGCGTCGGATTTTCGGCGTGTCGGTCTCCAGGACAGAACGAGAGATTCTTGTGGTTAGAGATCATTAATAGACTTCGATTCGAGTACACGGTACTTGAACTCTTTCTCGCTTCGATAGGGTCCTCAAAGGAGGCTCTCGCTTCGATAGGGTTCAGGGATGAAACTCTCGCGCCGTGGGCACGGGATGCCGAGCAGCAGCAAGTGCGAGGCAGAATCTTCTTTATGCCGAGCAGCAGCAAGTGCGAGGCAGAATCTTCTTTATGTTTCCAGCGAAGAGAGGCTCCGTACAAATCTCTGTGAACTCTCCTACTCGCTTGAGGTAGATGAAAGGAGATCACAACTTGCGGAGCTGACTCGAACAAGACGGAGAAACGTCGGGAATGTAGAGAATTGGCACAGTAGATTCACGTCCGGCTTCATTTGGAAGCTACTTGAACACTACATCATCGGGGGCTGGGTTTCACGATGAGACTCGCAATGAGCTCGAGTAACTCGCACAAGACGCCATCTTGAGATGCGGCTTCACTCCAGCTCACAACCACAGAATTTTCCGTTCGACCGCTCCGCGACCACTACAGTAGTGAGGAAGCCAGAACAACTTCGGAGCGGTGGCGAGGGCCTGCCTCTTCGGCCGAGTAGTGGAGAAGGAAGAAGAGACCGAAGAAAAAACTTCTCCCACG